CGGCGGGCGCAGCCAGCAGGGAACTCTGCGGGACCGGCAGACGCACCAGGACTGGCAGCGAGGGACCCCCTCGACCAGAGAGGGTGAGTCTTGCCCGGTGACCCGTTGAACTGAGCCTGGCAGGTCAGAGCCGAAGGGGTCGGAGGAAGCAGCCTAGGACGGGGTCGGAAAGCCCCGGGAACCGGTGAGTTGCGGCCATACCCCCCCTGGTTGGGTGGTGCGTTCTGGACGCCTGCCCTTAGGGTCCTGGACTGGGACCTGGAGAGGGGGTGGGCCCAGGTCCCCCTCCACCCCGGGTGGTAACGGAGAGCCAATTTGGGCAGAGACAGCAAGGTGCCGGCGGAGGAAGCAGCCTAGGACGGGGTCGGAAAGCCCCGGGAACCGGTGAGTTGCGGCCATACCCCCCCTGGTTGGGTGGTGCGTTCTGGACGCCTGCCCTTAGGGTCCTGGACTGGGACCTGGAGAGGGGGTGGGCCCAGGTCCCCCTCCACCCCGGGTGGTAACGGAGAGCCAATTTGGGCAGAGACAGCAAGGTGCCGGACATAGGGCCCCTTTGGACGTGGCGAAACGTTACAGTGACCAGTCTAGAAATCAGGTTAGTCTCCAAAGTCCATTTCTGTCCGCAGCTACCGCCAATCTCAAGCCCTCTCTGAAGTGCGTCATTGTCGCAGCCTCCTCCGGAGATAGGTTTTGTCAGGCGGGGAATCATGAGTGCGGTGGAGCTGTTTCTAGACCTGATACACTTCATATTGTCATCGTTTTATGGACAAGAGCTCCTATTATCCCCCCTGGCATGCCATACGAATGGAGAGCAGCACAGCCCAGCCGGCTAGCAACCAGGCTGTACGCACGCAGAGCCAGCTTGAAAAAGCAGCTGTCCAGGAGAACAGCTCCCTTCCCGGGTATGCTATTGTTCCTGCTGTCTAAATGTTACAAGGGGCATCCATGTAAACATTTGCACGAGCTCCCAAGCAGAATTGCGCTCTCTCTTCACTTCCCCATGGAAGCAGTGCCACATCCCTTACGGAACTGAGTGGCTGTGGTTTAGTTTCAGAGGGGTAGCCGTGTTAGTCTGAATCTGCATAAACAACGAGAACTCCTGTGGCACCTTATAGACTAAGGGTATTTCTACACTTGCTCCCTAGTTTGAGCTAGGGCTGCAAATGTAGCCGACCAAAATTGCTAATGAAGCGGGGATTTAAATATCTCGCACTTCATTAACATAATCCATGCGTTATTCCGCTCAACAGCTGATTCGAACCAGGAAGTGCACTCCGGGACACATTAGTTCAAATCAAACCCCTTGGTTCAAACTAACCTTACTCCTCAAAAAATGACAGAGCCATGTAGTCTAGACATACCCTGTGGCTACGTCTACACTGGCCCCTTTTTCGAAAGGGGCATGCTAATTTTAAACTTCGGAATAGGGAAATCTGCGGGGGATTTAAATATCCCCCGCGGGATTTAAATAAAGATGTCCGCCGTTTTTTTCCGGCTTGGGGAAAAGCCGGAAAAAAGCGTCTAGACTGGCCCGATCCTCCGGAATAAAGCCCTATTCCGGAGGATCTCTTATTCCTACTTTGAATAGGGCTTTATTCCGGAGGATCGGGCCAGTCTAGACGCTTTTTTCCGGCTTTTCCCCAAGCCGGAAAAAAACGGCGGACATCTTTATTTAAATCCCGCGGGGGATATTTAAATCCCCCGCGGATTTCCCTATTCCGAAGTTTAAAATTAGCATGCCCCTTTCGAAAAAGGGGCCAGTGTAGACGTAGCCTGTGTGGGTAGAGATACCCAGACCATGGGGATATGCTCTTAATCATCTTGGCTAATAGCTATTGATAGACCTAGGCTCCAAGAATTTATCTCCACAGGCAGATTAAGAGTTTTTGGGGCCCAAGGTCCCTCCAGTCCCTTCTCTCTGTGTGGAGATGGGGTTACATGAGTGAGGGGAGGAGGGACACCCTGACATCAGCGCCCCCGTCTCCCTCCCACACCTTGCACAGCGAGCAGGAGGATCCTAGGGGGGCAGCTTCAAGACAGAGGGCAGGATCGGCATGACAGTGGGGGGAGTTTTCCGGCCAAACCGTCAGGATCACTTGTCAGAGGCTCCAAGATCTACCAGTAAATCCCAGTCAGAGGTCCAGCAGAGGGCAACCAAAATGGACGGTGACCCCTGCAGTAGCAACCAACATTGGTCCCTCATTGTGCGAGGCGATGTACATACGCACGCGCACCGTAAGATTCTGGCCCTGAAGAGCTGACAATCTAAACAGATAGCCGGAGAGGGGAAGTCCCATCCCCGTTTCATAGGTAGGACACAGAGCTAGAGATACAAGGAACTTGCCCATGTAAAAGCCAGGAACGGAACCCACATTTCCTGACCTGCAGTCCCATGGCTTAACCACATGGTTGTGCTTCCTCTATGGGAAAATTCAACCAGCTTCTGTTTTCTGATTGCTGTGTATCCTCAAACCCTGGGGAAATTCAGATCTGTGCTTCGCTGCTTGGGATGCAGTTTTCAGAAGTGCCTGTGCTAATACTGAGAGCTGTGTTGGAATTGCCAGCTATTTAAAGGCGGCGGCGGAGGAGGGGGGGGTTGCTGTCCCTGTTTGAAGGCTGGGGGTGCTGTAGGGAAGCAGGCATTGATCGGAGGCAGTCTTCCGAAAAGCTAGCCTCACGGAAGACTGGGTTCGTCGTGGCTCTCTGTTTTGAGAAGCCTCCAGCTTTATCTCTCTCTGTTTGGGGGTTCTTATGTGTTTGGGTTCTGAATTCCATGTGTTATGTTGCAAGAGCATATTTCAGTCT